ATAGTTTCAAATTACTACTATGACAAAAAAAAAGTATTCAAACTGTAGATTCCCACAGAGTCACTCATTTTACAGCCAAAACGACTCACTACAACCATCCAGTCTGATTTTCCTGAGCCTGTGTATTTCTTGTACCAAATAAAAACTTCTTATGGATGTGCAAACAAATATTTTAAAAATTATGTTAACTACTGACAGAGAGTCTTTGCACAGAAGAGAATCTCCCAATCTCCTGTAGTAACTTCCTTCCTTAGTAAAATATTGCAGTTCAATTCCTTGGTAAATCTGTCTAGAAGTGTTAAACTCCGAGTCTGCAGAACCTTGTGTCATAAAAATAGGTCCTTTCCAAGCCAGTAATAGGAATGATTTTTCACCCTCAATCTACCTTCTAAAGAGAAAATTCTTGACTATGGAAGAGATGGGAAAGACTCAAAGCTGAGGAAAGGCTACTTCTGCTGTGGTTTTTAAGTTTTGGACCAATCCTTCGATCTATCACTTCTACCATCTATCATTTAGCAACAGCATGATCAAACCACTGAGTGCAGGAAGCATGTCTGAACAAAAGGCTGAAAAACTTCACAGAACACACAACAAAACAGAGCAGAGGTGAAAAAGGAAAAAGCATGAGAGAAATATTTGCAGAATGGCATCTTGGTTCCCATGCTCTACTGTGTAAGTAAGGACCTTCCCACTGAGACAGCCAGTGTTTTAGATTCTTTATGAACACCAGAGCATGCTTGCTTGGAGTACAGTTATTTTTCACTAATTGTATAACCAGCTGGATCTTTTTTTTTCAAGGCTTAATCCAAGTCCAATTGACTCTGGCAAGCATTAGCTAGTTATTTAATTGTTAGCTAGTGACTTTGGTAAACTTTAGATGTGGTGCTTAAGACTATAATTCCCCCTTGATTAACATCTTATGCACTGTTTATTCCTGTGCAGGATTGGCTCCCTCATCTTACAGCTTCTGAAATGGCAGAACTAGAAACTTTTATTACTAACCAATTTTAATCTACATGAAGCAGCTGAAGTAAAACAGAAGGCAGAACATTGCACATACAGTAACAGGACATCTTATAGGAGGGTTTCATTTTGCCAGGAAAAATCAATTTCTTTTTCTTATATAATTTTCTGAGAATAGTGTAAGGCTTGTGAAAGCTGATGTGGTCACCCAATACTAGAAGATATCTCAATTTTCTGTATTTCTTTTTAATGGTTTAAGGGGACACAATTTATTCATACACACAGAATACTGTAAACTATACTGGCTGAAAGGCTGAAATCCAAAAACTTCATGCTTTCTCTTCAACTTCATATATAGTAAAACACCAGCAGAGTTAATTAAGCACTATGTCTGCATGTACTAACCCTTAGTGACAAAGAAACTTGAATTAGAATTCAGTGCCAAGGTTAGCAACTATTTTAATCCAGGTGTAGATATATTAGTATCTCTCCCAGCTGCATAATTTGGTATGGCATTTCAATCTGTTCAAAACCAGTGATGAACAGTCCAGAGATTCTGATTGGCTGAAACCATTCTAGTTATCAGCTAAAAATCTCACACACACCTGCTGCAAAGGACCAGTGAGCATTTAAATCATTACTAAAGTATTACAGACAATATCAAAGCTAGAAGAAATTTAAAAAATTGTTACCGGGCCATTATTCCAAGACCTTAAACACAGACTCAATTTTAAGCTTGAGACCACAGTTCTTAAATTTACCTGAAACCTGAATTTGATCAAACTAAGCATACACAGATACGGTTTTCTGGAGTTGTGCCGGAGGCTGTTCAGACCAGTTTGGTAGACCCAGCATTTAAAAGAAATAGCTGGTTTTGGAATTCACATTCAAAAACTGTATCAAATATCCTCTGCTCCCTAATATTTCTCCTTCCTTAGGAAACACATTGCTTATGCTCAAACCGGTGAGGAAATACCCATCCTCTTTATCCTCCTAGTCATGCAGTCCTAGACTTCCCTGTCTAGAAGGTATGAACAGCATGAAAACATTTGGGAAAAGAGGCATGGGAAGTCTGCAGCTCTATCGAAGAGATGGTGTGCAGCCTCTGTCACTGAAGCAGTGTCTAGTACTGCTCTGTCCTCTGTTCATCCCTGCTGTGGAAATCCAGCCCATACTCAAACAAAGGGATTATTCAAACTGTTTTGGATATCTCCACAGAACAATAGATGGGAAAACTTGTATATAAATAGCACAGTAGTTAAAAAACCCCACCAAACCAAAATAAAAAATACCTCCACCATCTAATTCCCCCACCCCCCTCAGCCAGGGAAGTTGAGTTTGGATTTCAAGGTTAATAAAGACAATGTTTGGAGACTGGTGGTTTTCCTGATGGTAGCCCATCACCCATCCTGTCATCCATGCACAGGCCTCCTTTTCTTGCTTGCAACAACACAGAATTTCTGTTTCCCAACTCTACTTGGTTCTGTCTCTTGAATTTTGCTAGTAACCAGCAGCAACACAGACCCATCTACTGGGGACCCCAAGCACAGGGCAGTCAGCAAAGAACATTGTAGACTTCAAGCATTTTTATCATCTCTCTCTTCCTTCACAAGACTCCCAGCCCATGAAAATCTTCTAACAAGAGCAGGATGGGCCCTGTTCCTTAATAGATGGTCATTCTGAAGGACAGGGTATTTTGGTAATGGGAAAATGTTAATTGGTCTTGTTAAGCAGTGACTTTTGTGATGTACTGTTTAATTAATAAACTTAATTTATATTTGCACAGTCAGCCATAAGGGTGACAGTATGTTCCCAGAAGACTTTTTAGTTAATTAAATTTTATAGCTTCCTAAAGCATCTTACTCTCTATGCTCAAAGGAAAATATTGACAGCCTTTTTTTTTTTTTTTTTTCATTCCAGACTCTGCTGATAAACAGGATGCTCTACCACAAACTACAAAAGAGAAACGAAAATATCACGTTAATGCTTTTGGAACACATTACTTACTGTGGTGGCACAATGGATGTCTTTCCATACATTGGCTTCCCTGGAGAGATCTGAGACTTCAAAAAGGTTATCAAGAATAACTTCCCCAATCATGTCATGTCTAGAAAATCTGTCAAAATCATAAACACTGAAATGCAATTTCCTGTTGCTGAGTTGATCATAGGCTACAGGAAACTGAAAGGTTTCATCAAAGACAGGATTTAACGTCTTTCTGTGAACTCGTGTCTGAAACTTCTTTTTCCTATCTGGAAGCAGATAAATCTTAACGTAGGGGTCGGATGTTCCTGTGAAGTCTTTAGCAGGCAGATCTAGGGCTTTGACAATTGTGACAGCCAGAAGTTCATTCTCATAATCATACCGGAGAGTGAAGTTAAGTTTTCCACATGTTTTCACATCTTCTTGTTGCCCATCAGAATCCACAGACTTCTGTTTGTAGAGTTCCGGTTTTATTCTCCCAATGCTGGTTGTTGTCTCTCCCCTTTGCAAAATCGGATCTGTCCCCATGTTAAAATCAACACTGGACACTTGCATCTGCCTTGGCAAGTGCCTCCTGAAAGAATTGTGCCTGCACACATACACATACACACACACAAAAGGAGCCATGGTTACCTCTGGGAAAAGACCTGCCTATCACTAAGTAGAAAATAAAAGAAGAACAAATTAGTAAGGGTTCTTCTCTTTAAAATAATTTTAAAATAATCGCCCACAAATGTTTCGTAAGTCTTAAAACATCCTTGAAGGAAACGATCATTCAGAATTAACTTTGTGGCCTGAGAGACACCAAGTGTCCTGACAATACAGATATTTATAACTCTGTTTTCAGGCTATGCAGCTGAAACTGAATTAAGGTTCTTCCACAGAACCAGCTGACAGTTCCAGCATTTCTTGATCTCACTCTGCTAGGGCCTGAGTAAAGAATAGTCAGGCAGAAAAAAAAAAAAAATCACTTGCAGAATTGTTATTGGTACTTCCCACTTTTTGGAGGCATTCCTTGCTGGTTTTCCAATTAAATATTTACCATGCTTCACACTCATCACTGTGAAACATGCTTGAAAAGGCCATGCAGAGCTACATCTGAAAGTTTTCACCATCGTGCTTTGCCATCCTACATTTTATATACAGCTGCTTGGTATTTGCTACACTGAGGTAGGGATTGCCTTCTCCAATCGTACTGGGAACATTTTGTTCTGGCTACAATACATTTCAAAGTTTTGGTCAACGTTTTTCTGTGATGGATTTTTTCCTTCTGTTCTCACATTCTGCTGTGTGGCGTATTAGAAAGCTGGTTCCTGTACTCCTAGCAAGAAATAGTATGTTTAAATCCTTTTAATTCTGAATACAGTGTTGCATTAAGTGTATGTATTTATGGGCTTATCTTGACTCATGAACATCAATAGAAATTTGTGCCTTTCCTACTAACAGTGAAACCAAACACCTAGCATGCCATACAGCCTTACAGTAGTATAAAAACACTGGTCAAAAAGTTTCACGGAAAATCATCAGCAGATGCCATTATGACCACACTGTCCAGTTTATTTTTTGGACATTTTCACATTTCCTTGGTACTACACTACCCCAACAATCTGTAATGGAAAAGCTCCCTACCTCCTCCTGTGAGCATCCTTTGTTGCCATTTAAAAAACAATTTAATTGTCAGAATTTCTTTTGCTTTTTGCAATCAATTGCTTATTAATGCCAAATCCAGCCTTGCCTTATTGCTCGGTTTCCCTGTGGTGTTGTGTTCTGAAAACAAGAGGTGTCACAGCTGTGTGTTTCTTTCTTTAAACCAGAAATGCAAATTGTCCATTTGAAAGCAATCAGGACTCATTTCATAGATATTATTTGTATTTTTGCTGTAAGTGAAGTGGTTGCAGAAGATCTGAAGTACAAAACTACCGCAGTTCAGCTGAGCAGAGATACAAGACGGTAATCTGCAGCCATTAAATAATAAACAAGAACGTTTCCCCTTTTGGCTGTTTCAGTACTGCTAGGTGCAGGGAGCAGTCCTAGTGTAACACATGAATAGAGGAGGGAGAACGTCATAGTCTAGATATGAAGTAGCTCCAAAAAATCCAGGTGTTTTGATCTCACATTTAGATGAACAATATACCTCTCGTAACAGATTCTATTTTCTTTTTTACAGGCAGCCAAGTTGAAAGATTTTCTTTTCTCTTAAATATTAAACTCCCTGAATTCATAGTACACGATGTCCACATTGGAATGGAGTGACGAGTGGAAAGGCCATAACTAGTCAGAAAAGTACAATACTGTCCTCAGGGAGTTTCAGGGCTGTCCTTGTGCCTTTGTCCTCTGAGAAGTCCAGCCTCATGGGTGTGCTAAACACAGGGAAAGAACTGAACTCCAACCAAAATGTAGTGGCAATAAATGTTTGGGCATGTACCAATTTATGCACCAGCTTTCTAGTATCTTTGACTCATAATGAAGTCCAGGAAGACCTGTGTTACTGTTACTCCTATCTGTGCTAATGAAACCTGTGCAGGTAGGCCTTCCTGAGTGCTCCTCACACCTGCAGCTGTAGGACTGAGATGCCCAGATAATCACCTTCAAACCCTGCCATAGACAAGCAGTGGAGAAGACTGTCTATGCAGGGGAAATGGTGAAGCTGACTGTATAGTATTTCCAGTTTGACTGAGAATGGATACACAACAAATTCTCTTTTCCTCGACTTCTCTTGCATTTATGAAGATCTGGGTTAATACTTGTAAAAATAACATATAAAAATCCATTTCTATGATTTCTAAGGTACCAACTTTCTTTCATATTTTCAGACGTTATGCATATGAGATCCTCCAGTGAATGCAGTCACTGTTGCAAGATGTCACTAAGTAAAACAGTGCAGCTGTATGGCTGTTCCCCATGGGAACCAACAGTGCTTTTGCTCTAGTAAGCCAAAATCCTAATTACCTAGTCCTAGTATCTGTTCTGAGTCACAGCATTTCACCAAGATAGCTAATTGGTCTGGTAATTATTAAGATGTTTCATTTTGTCATGGCAACATATTTATCTTCCTTTCTTCTGAAATAACAAAGGAATTAATGACTGTGATAATGAAGTACAAGGATGTTAGGCAACCAGGTTGTGAAAATGCTATGAAGCTACTAAAGTGTGCAAATCCAGGTACTTCAACCTCCACTGGCTCTTACACGTAGCGCTCCTGTAATAGACATGCCTTCCATAACTTAGAACAAAACCATTTTGAGTGACAGTAAATCTGTATGTAAATCTCTAATATGAAATTGTAGTTGCATGGGAACAATGATAGTATGAAGCTGATCTCTAACTCAGTAAGACTGCCATATGTATGACAAAAGAGGTTAGAATACTGATTTATGATATGACTTGAGATTTATGAAGGGTTGCTCTGGTCTAGATTTCCTCGATGACATTAGACCAATCTTTTGGACCAAATCCAGGAATGGACACGAGCACTTGCGGTATTTAGACTGAACAGAGGCTGCTGTCTCCTCCTTGTGATCACTAAAGTCAACAGACCTGCTTCTTTTTCTTTAACCTCAACATTTCCAAGCACCTCACGTTTGCCTTTGTACCTCTTGGGAACTGACTTACTCTTCGAAGAGCTGAATGACAAGCTCCTCTCCAACCTAATGCTAAAGAGCAAAAAGTCTGTCCTTTGAAAATACAGGTGAGCATCTGAAGAATGGAGTATCATAGAAGCAATAAACTGTATTACAGAATACTTTCACAAAGTACCAGGAAGAGTGGTTCTCAATAACACAGACCAAAAATGTTTGTAACAGCACTGATGCAGGACTACTTCTATCATAGTTTACTGGTTAATTTGGATCAAGGACTAAAGAACTGTTGGGTTTTTTTAACAAGCAGGTCTTTTCGTATTATCAGGAACTACAAAAATGATACAGTTCTAATTAAGCAGAAATGCATCATTTTCCTACACTAACATGTCTCTATTGTAAATGTACAGTATACAACAAGTGATCAGGCACGTTTTATTATTGCTCTGAATGGCTTCTTAAAATCCTCATACCTCAATTACAATGACTTAATTTAATTCCATTTCTTTTATTAAGATCTGATGGCCGCATGAACCTATCATAGAACTGGCTACAACCCTCTTATTTGCCCCAGCTCAGGTGAAATTAGCATAGAAGAGACAATCCAGACACCAAACATTTCTCTTAGACCTTTTGTCAATGAAATACATTTAGGAGATGGTGTATTTGGACTGCTCAAGACTCCTGAGTACAGCAAAGCAGTGCTGCATCAAAAATGGTGCAAGAGAAAGTTATGCTACCTCTGTGACTGCTAATGGCTCCCCTTTATTTAGAGTCCCCAGTGAAGGACACCAGAGTCAGGTTTTAGTTGTTTTGTGATCCAACATTCTGCAACACAATGGAGAAGTAATCCAGAAAGCTGGTCTAAATGTCCAGCCTTCATCTCATACATGATATTGTCGGCAGCAATAATTAATATGGGCTGTCAGAAGGTTAAGACTCCCTTAAGGCAGGTAGGGGGATACAAAAAATGCATTTCAAACACAGAAAGGACCATTTCTGGGTAATTTTTAAGACATATCTCATTCTAAACATGTTTTGGTGCAGAGGGTGCAGAGTTTTTCAGCAAAGTATAAAGGAAGGTGATGTCTCCAAACATGCTGCTATTAATTGGCTAAGGTGGGACAATCAGGGTTACTGATTACAGCAAAGGAACTGTCCCTTTAGGAGAGATTTAACCCTGATAATCTAGAGAGGACTGAAAAAACCAAACCTCTCTTACAAAGTTACCAACATATGCAGAAAGAGTAGGATTGATGGCAGGTTTTAATTTCGTAAAACTGTCCTTTGCTGCACAGATATTTTATACGCATTTAGATCCCAGTCCAAATCACTCTAGAGATCTGTGGGAATATTTTCACAGCCTGAAGTAGCTCTGGATCATGTCCTAGGAACTTCTTTCTTCCCCTATAGTACCACAGGGACTATTCAAGTCCATTTGCCAGCTAGTTATTTCTTCTGTCTGTTCAGGAAGTCAGACAGTCTGATTACCTACAGATTTACCTGTTGGTACACGATGGGTAAAACTCTTCCAATGAATATCCTATTAGGTAATAGCAAGTTGTGTAATATCCTTGTCATGCTAAACTGTATCAATTTTGGTCCCTCTGTGTTTGGTATAACAGTTACCATTTCAAAGTTGTCATCCCAGTATTTTCGAAATGTTCCTCAGAGTGGCTTGGATACTGTGCTCCCTCTCTTAGCAGATGGATAAAGTAGCTGGAGCCAGGCATAGCCAGGGCAATGGGGCTTAAAGTCAGCTGTACAGTCTCATAATTTAGGAGATGGTTTAGCTGCTAAAGTCAGTTAGACCTCCCCTGGCTGGAGAGTTCTCATTTTTGGAAGCCTCCTGTGGTTGCCTGTTGGCTGTTCCATGCTGATGGAATAGCTGGGAAAAACCACTGCAGCACTCACCACCACAACGAGCGCACGGAGCTGGCAAAACCTTCTCTTAGGGACTTATAGAAGGCCAGCAAAGTATGTGCCTACTAAATGTAAAGCATGTGTCTTCTTTAATCTTGTGCCTCCAATGATTATTGTGAATGTGAGGATTTTTATTTTTTTTCCTTTGGTGTCGTGTGTTCATTTAGCAAATGGTTTATTGAGGGAAAGCTACTTCCTAGACAGTGTTTGTATT